ATCCTGATAAATAAATTCCAAGTACTCAAAAATAGACAGAATCAAGTATTTGAATAATCAAGAACAGAATTTACACATGAGCCTATTTACAGTGCATTTCACCCCCAGGAGCTGAATATTGCACCTCAGTTGATTATTACATAGTCCTTCATACTTTCACCTAGCTTATCCCTGCAGTGATGTGTTGTACAGTCTGATTGCTGAGGGGAGGAACGACCTACGGTAACACTCCTTCTTACACTGGGGATGAAACAGTCTGGTGCTAAAAGAACTGTTCAGAGCCTCCACTGTGTGGTGCAGGGGATGGGAGGAGTTATGCATGATGGATGTTAGTTTTAAGTAGTTTACATTCAGTGTTTATCAAAAAACATGTTGTGTATTCTTGCAGCCTCATAAATGTGATGAAGTTATATATTTCTTCCTTTGCGTCTCATGAAATATTTACAAAGCCACTTTTTGACAGAATTTTACATCTGAATTGTAAAACATGTTTACTTTCTAAGAATCTCGCTCATTACGGCCACCAAGTGTCGATCAGTGGAATAACAGGAAGCTGCTGGCAGATCCACTTGTGAAAACCCCACTACCAGCTGCTGCTGTAAACATTTCATGAATGGGGTTCATGTGTTTTACAGCATCAATTCTAAGTCTTGTTGTCATTTCCCAGACTGCTGCAGGCCGTGACACGAGAATGAAGAAAGAGCATGACGCTGAGGTACTGTGATACACTGCCTGCTCAGAATATGCTCTGGCCTTAATACAGGGACATTTAACTTTGATTTCCTACAGGGAACAAACATCTACATCGTTTCACAGTGAAATTCAGTCCCTGTGACTGTAACAAGTTAGACTTGATGAAGAAAAACTTGGGAAAGATCTAAGCATCATTCAGTGAGGTTCATAGAGACAGGAAGCTGCTGGAACTTGGCAACTCAGTTTGTAAAGTGATTGTTGAGGGTGTTTGTCAGGGAACTGGCTTTGTACTGTTTGATAACTTCATCCTGACTGAAAAAGTGTCATCCTACAACACTTTCATGTATCACAGTTCTTCTGGCTCCCAGTGTTTGATGAACGCAGAGTTTTTGGTCTGCACATCGCAGGATTTACCTGTGGGTTTGAAAACCACACAGAGTGATTGAGTGTGCCCTTCCTCTGCTTACTATATTTGTAAGTTTTGTGAGTAAGCTGAAGGAAGGTTGAAATGGGCAGCTGTTGAAAAGAGTTCAGGAGATATTAAAAATGTACTGTGTGTGCTTTGGGTTACATGTCAAACCATCTAAACTAGAAATGTGTGGAGGATGCACTCTGCTCTACTGTATATGCATATGAAATGATGTTGAAAAACACGAAACACCTTTTTCTTAAACTTTCTGAAAACTGTTTTTGCTACAGAAAATCTAAATCTTATCCTGATTCTGAAATCCTTTCCTCATTTTGCAGACTCCAGTGAAAGTGAAGGGGGAGGAGGATGGTGATACCAAGGTCAGTGTTATGTTACAGACTGCATGCACACAGTAGGCTGCACTTTTATTACAACAGGGGCATTTAACTTTTACTTTATCACTCTTTTCTGCAGGGCAGACAATTCCACAAAGTTCACTCATTCAGAGTGAAATTCAAGGCCAGTGACCCGGATGAATACGATGTTTCCTGTCATGACCCCTGCACAGTGCTGGAGGCAATTAAATTAACTGAAAAGTATAAAGAGGAGATTAATAGGAACAAATGGTTAGATGAAAACGTTGTCATTCGGCTGGGTCAGGGAGATGAGGAATCTACTGTTGCAACCCATTTTCCTTGTACTTGTATCAGCAATAGGGAGCTGGTTACCATATCCTGTCAACGAAAAACAGCTGAGAAGATCCAAGACCAAAATTACACGATATATCCCAGGGAAGAATACTCTGTCTTCTACATTGATACTATGGCAGGAGAAAATGCCAAAAAAAAAAAAAATTTTAGAAACTATGTTTTCACAAACTTCAAGTATCTCCACGTTTATGCAAAGAAGGGCATGACTGTGGAAGAGGCTCTGAAAAGAGACGGTCGCTTCACTGATGACCTTGGTGACTTCTTTCTGTCTGACAATGATCATCCAAAGATTAAGATTGAACGCACACAGCTTGTTGACAATCAAGATGACAAAAAACTCAAGTTATGTTATCGCCTGAAAAAGAAAAGAGAAAGAAGCGAGGAAAAAACACAGCAGGAAAACCCTCATGCATCAATTAGTTCACAACACAAATCTAACACAGTCTCAGAGGTACCAATGGAAAGTCCACGTGCATCAGGTAGTTCAAACCAGACAAGTGACACAGTGACGGTCTCAGATGTAGCACAGCAGAGAGGAATCAGTGTAAAGACAGTGCTGGAAAAGAAAGACTGTGTCAACACTGAGGAGATTTATGAGCTACTCCGAAAGCAGTTTAAAGATCTGATAAAACTGCTGGAGAGCAGATTCCCTGGTAAATCTTATCCAAAAGAATTAGACCTGAGGAAGGAAAACTTTGGAAAGATCCAAGCATCATTCAGTGAGGTTCACAGAGTCAGGAAGCTGCTGGAACTTGGCAAGTCAGTTTGTAAAGTGGTTGTTGAGGGTGTTTGTGAGATGTTGTGGGATCCTGCAGGGATGTTGTGGGAACTGGCTTTGTACTGTTTGATAAGTTCATCCTGACTAACGCCCACTTGTTCAAGAACTGGAGACGATATGGAGATAATTTGATGAAGTATGTAAATGTTACCACTGTGTTCAACTATGAAGATGACAACCTGCACTTAAACTGGAACAAGTTTCAGGTTAAGAGCATGTTAGACGTGTCAGACAAACTAGATTATATGATACTTGAACTTCACCATGATGCCGTGACTGAAAACAAGAAGGTACCACCAGGGCTCCTGAAGAAATTTGGCCCAATGCCTCCAAATGGTGAAGCCTGTATTATCGGCCACCCAGCAGGAGGAGTGAAGAAAATGGATCCTACATGTATCATTGAGAAAGAGAAGAGAGGGCAGGTTGTTGATGAACGTTTACGTCCATACGGGAAATATCCATTCTTTATCCACAGATTCAGTGAACAGCTCAAAGATAAAGGCATTGAAGACATAATGGTGGGTGGAAACGAAGCAGAACAAGTGTCGACATACAACACATTCATGTATCACGGCTCTTCTGGTTCCCCAGTGTTTGATGGTCAGTGCAGAGTTTTTGGTCTGCACACTGCAGGATTTCCCTATGAGTTTGCACACAAAGAAGTGTATGTGATTGAATGTGCCATTTCTCTGCTTATTATATTTGAAAGTTTTGTGCGTAAGCTGAAGGAAAAGAGAAATGAGGAGCTGTTGAAGAGAGTTCAGGAGGAAGCAAAGGGAAATCCATACCTAACAGACATACTCAAGGCTGAGTCGGTAGATGTTGAACCAATGGATGTTGATTAAGAATGATCTGTAATTCAGAGGCTCCTCAAGTATCAGAACACATCTGGTTGCATTTGTGTTGTTTTTTTTTTGTTTTTTTTTCATCTTCAGTAAATCTATAAAATATAGTTGCTTTTGCTTTTACAGTATTATTAAAACTGTCTTTTCATTCTGTGGCCTTACTCGACTTTAACCATCGGTTGTTAAATGTTAGTGATGTAACAGTGTAAAGCCCCTTTCAGACATGGTACCTGTACATTTGCTGTCTATATGTGGATGTGTACCAGTTTACATTTTGGTGTTCAGAGTTGCTGTGTGTGAAATTCTTGGTGAAGTTTTGTTGGTAGCACTCTGCTGGCTATGTGACACGTTCAGACGTGATGCCTAGATGTGAAATAGCAGGTAAATTCATGGGTAAGGTTGCCGGTCTGAAAACGGCTTAAGACTTTCAGTTGTATTAAATCTCATGTGCTTGGTTCTGTTCAAACTGTTCTTAGTTTTTCCATAGTTATATTAACAACATGTCACATTTTACCCTCTGCAATCTAAATCTAAATGAAGTTGTATCCATGTATGCTCCAGTCACAACAGAGGGCTTTTATGTTTCTGTGGTGCAGGTAAACTAGGACTTTAAAGCTGTTGGCCACAAACTTTTTCAGTTGGGCCTCCCTGTCATGGACCCCAGTTTTGGATCCACTGCTTTTTAAAGGCATGGTTCAAATACCTTTCCACTCTATGAACGTTTCCCACACTCTGCCCTGAGAAAACAAATGTTCACACACTGTCTGGAAATGTCCGCGAAATAAAAACATTCTCAAATTTAAAGTTCGAATTAGGTGATTTATTTCACTGCTCAGGATGACTTTGGGTTGCTTTAATGTGTTTTTGCTCAAAAATAATCATTAAATGAATGTTCTTTTACACCGAAAGCAAAAACAATCACTCTACAGTACTGCTCAAATTTCCATCCTGAGTAAAAAAGAAAAAAAAAAAAATTCTGCAGATTCTGTTTGGGCCCACTGATCGGAGCTTTTCCATTAGGTATAAGACTAAACATCACATAACACAACAGTTTGTAAAATGTTAAATGTGGTGATGAAGCGGGTCAGAACAAGACGTTTTCCATTTCTGACAGACACAGGAGCTGTTTTCTTCAGTTTGTCCATCACGTTCTCAGGTACAAGTGAAGTGGAAGCATCAAATACCTAGAGGGCAAAGTGTAACGTCACTGTACCTTAAGACCTGACAAACCTTCCTGCACAGAAAAAACAAGTTGGTGTAGGATCCAAAACCTACAGGTTTATTCAAAGATGAAATGTGTGAAACTGCTTTTAAAAGCTCTGTAGCATAGAGTCTGTAGCAAAAAGTTCATTTTAAAATAAAGCAGTAAAGGCAGGGTGTGCTGGAAACACATGAGAAGTGTTTATATCTGTTCCAGTGACCACAGAGGGAAAGTCCTGCTGTTATCGAAGGGGGCAAATCTAAAAAAAAAAAAAAAAACAACTGTACAGTCTTGTCTTGAAGTCCATGCTCTTTCAGTCGGTTTTCCACATAAAGTCACTTCTCTACACCAGGCCGATCACTGGGGGAGGGAAGCAGCTGTGACGTCACACTATCAGTTTCAGAAAGACACAGAAGTTACCAGACATCTCCAAGTTCCACTGTCAGAAAGGTGACAAATGTTTAGAGTAGATAGGATGTCTAGTTAGACTGTTAAATGCTTAGTCATGCTTATGAGTTTCTACAGGGTACATCTGGTCAAGGATAACTAGAGAGAAGAGTTGATGACTGTCAGCAGACAGGGTGTTTAATATTATTATTATGATGTGTATAACTGTAGCCTTAGCCATAATATGTTCTTATGTTTAAGTCACGACATGTTACTAGAGGTCGTGAGAATGTTTTTAGTTACACACCACTTAATCAACAGACACACACACATTGATTTACTTCATGTTTTGACTACTGCTATGTCCAGCTGCAAAGCTGGTAACAGAGACGTCTCGGTTGACGTTTCTGTGCAGTATGGGGCTAGCCCAACCGAGGGGATATAATGTATAGGCCTGGTGGGTTCAGGGTCTTTCATCTTACATCTGCCTGCGAGCAGTTTGGAGGTGGAAGATACCCGAGTGTGTAATGTTAATTTTACCTGTGATCATTGAATAAATCAGCACTGTTTTGTAGTTACTTGGACTGTCTCGTCTCTCAGAGTCAGTATGGTTAAATCTGATGCAACAGTATCATCTATGCACTGACCAAACCTCCTTTGTTCAGATCGTTTCCTCGCTGAAGAACAGAGTTCAGGTTGGAGAACCTTCCAGGCTGTAGGAAACGTTCCTCACCAGGTGGACTACATTTAACTAGACTCAGGAAACATCTTACAACTCACTGCTGCTGCTTTGCTGTTTCATGTGGCTGGAATCAGTTTGACGTCCACTGACAAAATCCTCAGGTTGTAGCGAACCAACAGCGCCGCCAAGTGGCCATTTTCACAACAGTACCAGCAAATGAACTGAGTGAAGCCACAGTACATCTTCTTTACTTAGTTGAAAGTCACTAATATTGTACATTATTAAAGTGAGAAAATATGATTACCACAACATCCACTTATAAAAAACCCTTTCAGCTCCACAACATGTCCTTCATCGTGTTCAAGTTCTCTTCATTCATTCTAATGTTCTTCAAACATCTGTGGGTAAACTGCAAACAGAAGCTACTGATAGTTAATTTTACATTTACATTTTTTGTGACCAGATGAAAAGTGTGGCCACAAGTATCAGGGCAACTGTCAGTCCATCCTGGGTAAGAGGAGGGTTGTACAAACTATAATTTGTAATTTATCAGCTTCATTCTTTTATTATTAATCATTCAAAAACATCTTGCAAAACTGTTGATAGAATGTCATGATGTATATGAGAGATCATTGTTTTAATGAGGCAGTGAAAACAAAAAAGTATTTAAGATGGATAAATGGCACTAAATCAGGTACCAGGAAGTTTTCCACCCAGCTGGTGTCTCTCTCGCTGTATGAAACAAAGGCATCGAAGGACAGCAACGCCTCTGCATCCCCCGTGTCTCTGAGTCTCCGCCGCCGGGAGCTGCGCTTTGCCTTGAGCCACGCCCACATCATCTTGAGGTACCAGAAGGCATGGAGGTGCCACAGCAACACACACACCAGAATCCCAACAAACAGCCCCACCCCACAGCTCACGGACACAAACAAAACCCGGTGGCACACAGCGATGGAGAGGTGGACCCGACCCACCAGTTCCCCCTGCAGGTAGAGGGGAGAGTCGCAGACGTAGCTCTCCCCCCCATCTGTTAAGTCAATGTTCTCACCTCCTGTGATGCCCGACTGGAGGAAGGCAACAAAGTCACAGGAGCAGACAAACTTGTTCTGACCTGCCTGGAGCTTCTGGAGTCGTCTGTATGACCGGATGTCTGAACGGCTGAACATGTTCAAGGTGTTTGACTGTGGAAGAACAAAGGGAAGGGGGGGTGTCACACTGGACAGAGCAAAGAGGACTGGATGCAGACATATGAGATGTGACTGTTTCTAACCTGTATAGTCAGCGTATGCACATTAGGGAACAAACTTCCAGAAGGCAGCCTCAGAAACTTGTTCCCAGAGAGGTGGAGCTCCGTCAGGGCCGGCAGGGTCACAGTGAAGCCTCTCAGATCATTGTTGCTCAGATCCAACACCTGTACGTGATAAAGTACTACGTTAAAGTACTTTAACAGTGAGTTGCTTTGTTGGGAGTGCGTCGGGTCTGTCAGGATCGCTGCTGTGACTCTCAGTACCTCCAGGGTCGTTGGTAGACAGGGAGTGACGGCGGTAAGTTTAGCCCCAGAGATGTTGAGGTATCGCAGGGTGGAGGGCCAGGAGCAGCCCTGGGGCATGGAGCTGTAGCCGGTCCTGCTGATGTCCAGGTGGGTCAGTTTGAGATTCTCTACCAGTTGGCTCACCGTGGATAAAGACTGGACAGAAGTGGGACAGAGGAAGTCATGCATCTTTTGCTCCTTTGTCCGTGGCTTAACTTTAAGTTATAGTGAAATGAAATCTTACCTTGGCTCCTCCAGCTCAGGTACCAGGAAGTTTTCCACCCAGCTGGTGTCTCTCTCGCTGTATGAAACAAAGGCATCGAAGGACAGCAACGCCTCTGCATCCCCCGTGTCTCTGAGTCTCCGCCGCCGGGAGCTGCGCTTTGCCTTGAGCCACGCCCACATCATCTTGAGGTACCAGAAGGCATGGAGGTGCCACAGCAACACACACACCAGAATCCCAACAAACAGCCCCACCCCACAGCTCACGGACACAAACAAAACCCGGTGGCACACAGCGATGGAGAGGTGGACCCGACCCACCAGTTCCCCCTGCAGGTAGAGGGGAGAGTCGCAGACGTAGCTCTCCCCCCCATCTGTTAAGTCAATGTTCTCACCTCCTGTGATGCCCGACTGGAGGAAGGCAACAAAGTCACAGGAGCAGACAAACTTGTTCTGACCTGCCTGGAGCTTCTGGAGTCGTCTGTATGACCGGATGTCTGAACGGCTGAACATGTTCAAGGTGTTTGACTGTGGAAGAACAAAGGGAAGGGGGGGTGTCACACTGGACAGAGCAAAGAGGACTGGATGCAGACATATGAGATGTGACTGTTTCTAACCTGTATAGTCAGTGTATGCACATTAGGGAACAAACTTCCAGAGGGCAGCCTCAGAAACTTGTTCCCAGAGAGGTGGAGCTCCGTCAGGGCCGGCAGGGTCACAGTGAAGCCTCTCAGATCATTGTTGCTCAGATCCAACACCTGTACATGATAAAGTACTACGTTAAAGTACTTTAACAGTGAGTTGCTTTGTTGGGAGTGTGTCGGGTCTGTCAGGATCGCTGCTGTGACTCTCAGTACCTCCAGGGTCGTTGGTAGACAGGGAGTGACGGCGGTAAGTTTAGCCCCAGAGATGTTGAGGTATCGCAGGGTGGAGGGCCAGGAGCAGCCCTGGGGCATGGAGCTGTAGCCGGTCCTGCTGATGTCCAGGTGGGTCAGTTTGAGATTCTCTACCAGTTGGCTCACCGTGGATAAAGACTGGACAGAAGTGGGACAGAGGACAAAAACTTCTAAAAATGTAGTTAATATGTACAAACTGTACTACAAAGGATAAAAAGCAAAACCGAGTCATTTTGTACTAACAGAAGAAGGTGATAATGAACCAATATGTTATGTTATAAGTGATTTTATCATCGGCCAATAAACAAAACACACTTTGTGGGTCTGTACCAGATTTGATGTTTGTTGTGAATATTGTGTGACAGTTTTTGGTGTCATCATGAAATCACAGCAACGTGAAAACTCTTTACAGAAGTGGCTCCTGTAGACACTGGTTTCCTACCTGCCACTGCCTACCAGCGTGATACCGTTAAGGAAAAGGGAGGAGAGAGGCACTCCATCTAAAACCACCAGTAAGTCCACTATCCCCTTGTCAGTGGTGGAAACATTATGAAAGGTCATGTGCCTGCAGAGTGACACCATAGAGAGACAAATGTTTGGTTTGCCTGCCAAAAACATGTTTGTCATGTGGCTAATAACACTATTAGCATTTTAGCATGAGCCAGAGGAAAAGGAGACTGTGGCCAGACCTGACCCTCCTCTTGGCTGCCTCTCTAAGTGGCTGAATAGACTGATTGCTGTTCAGGTACAGGTCCTCCAGAATGATAGGGGTCTCAGGGTACGACACGTCACGGAGCACAGCCGAGGCTAAAGGTATGTTTGATAAAAACGGTCTGTACAGGCTCAGACTGACACGACCCAGCGGCCAAATGTCTCCTAGGGTGCCGGACTCGTACCTGCAGAGAAAGAATGAGCCAGGAGAGAGAAAGTGAAAGATAGTCAGACCTTTGAAAGAGTTAACAGCCGATTCAATAGTCAGTGTAACACCAAAATGTGCACACTTCACTTAATCAAATGTGGATTCATCCGCCACTAAAAGTAGTCCCCAACAAATGTTTTTTGCAGAAGTTACAGCTGTTTTAAGAATTTAGTCTTTAAAAAAACTAAATATTTCTGACATTTACAAAGAATGACGTCTTCAGGAGGAACCAACAGGCTGGATAATCCTGTTTTTCATGTTTATAACTACACTGAACATTAATTAATGCTCCTCTTAGAGCGGTAATGATTCATCAGTCAGTCGACAGAAAACTAGTCGGCTGCAGCTTTTTTCAACAAATGCTGAAAAAGTGATGCTGCCACTAGGAGGCGCCCTTTCCTTTCCATGTTAGGACATCTGTCTAT